AATCGATAGCTCCCGTGCCCTAATATTCTTTCGTACCTGGCCGATTCAAACGCATGACTCGTGGTCGAATCGATCCCTACACGCCCTAGAGACTGTTGATGCCCCCATTGTCGCGTTACATGGAGCCCAGTGTCCCCTTGACCGCCTGCCCCGAAGCCTGATCATCGCAAAACATGACGTCCAGCCACTGTGCATCGCCACCTCCACAGGACTTCGTCTCTTCCTTACCAGCCACGCCGCCACCATCCCTCCATACCATCCTTGAACACCCCTTTCCTGGCCTGATGAAGCCCCCAACACTCACAGTGTGCCCCTTGAAAGGCACAGCAGCTGTATTCTTCAGGGTATAGAAAAGCGTTTGTGGCAGGTCCTCGGGCGGCAGGACGGCCTGAAACGACATGGCCGGTGTGGTTCCATCGTTGACATTCTCATCGATCGTGATATCGATCTTGAGAGAACGGAAACGGGACGATGGGATGGTGACCGAGCCGTTGAGACCGGGTGCGAGTGTCCCTTTCAAGACGTGGTCGATACGCTTCTCCCAGAGGTAGACCGGCCAGGCGCACCAGTTATAGAACCGAATAGAGGGGTTTTGTGTGTTCGTGGCTGCTCCCGCTGGTAAGGTTGCCGCTTGAATAAGCAAGAGAGGGAGGACTGAAAATGCGCGAAGCATTCTGAAAGGTTTCGAGAAGATGTCGGGCAGTATTTGAAGATGACTTTGTTCGGGAAGTCCAGATTTAAGTACTCAGGTCGAAGCTGAGCCATGAAGGAGAGCAGGTAGATGTTACGAGCGAGTGATACATGGCGTGCAAATGAAATACCGCGAATCCATCACAGTAACGACGAAACCTATCACGGCTTAGCACTTTATGCGGACCTTTCATGTAGCAGTATGATCTCCTCAAGAGGTTAGGACTCGTTAATTCCAGTATAGAGTTTTGTGACAGGATCTTACTATTTGATCCTGTTGTGTGGAGCTGCCTAACAGAAATAGGTCGGGTACAGACTATATCCAGTTGCATCACGGTAGCAGACCGTGTATGTTGGACGATTGCGTGGCTATGTGTTATTGGAATCCCGTAGCATGTTTTGTTTACTACCGTGACGATATGACACGGTGATTTCAGCAAATGAAGACCTAGCCCTATTCTTGGGCGGACTGCGCAGGTGGGATGAGGCAGGATAGATTTGGGACCAGGAACGGAGATGCGAAGATCGACGGAACACAATTGAGATGACCGCAGCTTTAAAACAGGTGAGAAACGCATCAATTGCGTGCGCGGTCTGGCCCTTTCGTGTAAGAACGTGCACGTGCGTTTAGTTGAACCCTTGAGGGGGAAGGCGCTAAGGGTCTACTGGATGGAAGGTGCCCCAGAGCAGGGATGCCCCATCTGAGGCTACGGTAGAGTACGATGCGGGCGATGAATTGGATATTAGAGTGCAAAGAATAAATCGAGCGAAGGAAGTTTACGTATGCAAAATGACCAAGTTGTTTTTTAGCGAAGTGTAACGAATTCCTCCTCCACCCTCTCTCACCGCCACAACATTTCCTGCCTACAGTACAGCTCTGTGACCAACTCATTGGGCGCTTCCTATACGCCGTTCATTTAGTACCCAATGTCGAGCCACAAGTCGCCCGGGCGTGGAGATCCGATCGTATTCTGCGGATGCGCATGCCCATCCCACCAATCATTGTCGCCGCCTGGACCGCCCAGCTTCGTCCTTTTGCCGTCGAACGGATAGGAGAGGTAGATGCCAATGTCGTAGTAGATCCAACCCTGGGGATGTTTGTTGTATCCAAGAGTGAGGACACCCTTGCCCGCGATATCAATATCATATTCCTCTGCAGTGATTTTGATAGCGACTCCGTATTGGTCGGTCTGCGGAAGGGTCGAGCTGCCGTAAGGTTCGATTTTCGTAGTGGAGGTGCGACTGCCATCTCCGGTAACTTGAGTATACCAAATGGGCGTTGATAGATGGTTGTTGATGAAAACCGATTCGGCATGGACAAGGGCGGCTAGAGTCGCGAGGCCAGGAAGAAGAGCTAGAAGACGCATTGCGAGGAGAACGGTTCGCAAAGCTGTAATCGGTGGGGTAGAATGGTACTAACAAGATCGAATAGAGAAATAACTGAGAAGTGTCTGGTCTTGGGACTGTGAGCTTGCAGAATTAGATCGCGGGTTGCAATCTCTTCTTTATACCTGACCAGGCCTAGGCTGACTACCCATTCTCAGAGTCAGCAAACAGAATGCAGGGGATATAGGTTGTCGTTGCACACGGTCCATCATGCGGAATCAGTCAAACTTTGGACGGTGGCTGTGCGCCAGGGCTGTCTAAGGAATGGTCCTGCGCCATTTTGGCACATTATCCGAGCATGGCAGTACAATGTAGGTGCCCACCTTCCTCGGGGGTCCATGAGCGTGAGAAAGAGCGTTTAGCGTGATTCATAGCTCGTAAAACGGTGCTCATAGGCGAACAGGTGTTCTATGTAGCATGGAGCCACAACGTAAGTGGACGGGTCGTGGCATGCGCACTCGATTGAATCCGGCGCCTAGGTCGGCATCACGACCGCTAACGGTCCAATCGCTGTGGGAGGTGAATCGCCTCACTACAGGCGGCGGGTTTGATGCCCAAAGGTTAAGACACTGAGTTGTCATGTGAACATTGTCGGTGAGTGATATTCACTACTGTGGCGAACAGCAGACCCAAGCGTAAGCACTTGTTTATTGACGGGTGTAGCCTATATGCTTGTAACAGACCTGTCAAATGTCAAAATCGTGCTCTGCGTAGCATCTGGCGTTCTGCAACGAATACATGCTACGTATAAAGTTCATTGATAAGCTACGTAGGGTATATAAAAGCGCCATTCGGTACCGCTGAGCGTGATATGTGACCTATCATAATGAGATGATTTTCTAAAGGCCAACCCTTGTACTGGTGTAATGTTGTTTAGAGCGAGACGAAGCATGCGTTCGCGGTGTTGAGGTCAGTGTAGTGCGTGCGAAGGTTCTATAGCCAAAACAAAGGCAGCTCAAAAGCAGAGCAGTGTAACACAAGAGTGCTAACATGGCAAGTCCAAGGTTGCTCAGACGGACGTGATGGCGGAGTTGCGGGGGTTTCTAGGGTAATAGAAGGGAGGCACGTCGCACTTGAGCTTGTTTTCTTATCTATCTCATCTCCGAGCCATCTGCATCATCGCCGATATATCCGCGATGACGATAGCTGTTAAGCCGTAAAGGGCCGATTCGATACCTCGGCTCAAGCGGTGGCGTACTTCGCATCTTCTGGACAAGAGCGCGCAGGAATGCCGCCATGTGACAGTCGTCCTAGAACAACAATTCGCTATAGGCATACTCCTTTCGTACTGAAGACGAACCTGCGTGTTTTGTTATCATGTCGGCTGCTCTCCGTACGTCCTTCCGAATGGCTTCACGGCCACAGCAAGCTGCTCAGCGCCTTGCCAGCATCCAGCGACAGTTCAGCTCGTCAGCGCCACAGAGGAAAGAGGTCAGAGATGCATATATATTAAGCGCGAGTCGGACACCGACTGGAGTGGTAGGTTATCCATTTGCACGTATGCGAAACCAGCGCTGATATGTGACAGTTCAACGGCGCATTTACAACCGTATCCGCAACCCAGCTCGGCGCCACGGCTATAAAATCCGCCCTTGAAAAGTCAAAAGTCCCGATATCCTCCATCGATTCCGTATACATGGGCAACGTGCTCAGTGCAGGTGTTGGGCAAGCTCCTGCACGACAAGCCGCCATCTTCGCTGGCCTCCCTACAAACATCGAGGCTACGACAGTGAATAAAGTCTGCTCGTCCGGATTGAAGGCGGTCAATCTCGCAGCACAAACAATCGAGCTTGGACAGGCGGAGGCACAGGTGGCAGGAGGGTTCGAGAACATGACAAGAGTGCCATACTACCTCAACCGCGCGAGCCAACAGCCGCCGTTCGGCCACCAGCAGTTGCACGATGGCTTGATCGGCGATGGACTGTGGGATGTGTACAACCAGATCCACATGGGCAACTGTGCGGAGAATACGGTGAAGAAGTACCAGCTGACGCGGGAAGAGCAGGACGAGTTCGCCATTCTGACATACAAGCGCGCGCAGGCAGCGTGGAAAGATGGCCTATTTAAAGACGAAGTCGTACCGGTGACGGTAAAGTCCAAGAAGGGCGAAACCGTCGTATCGGAAGACGAGGGCTACAACAAGCTGAAGCTGGAAAAGGTGCCAACGTTGAAGCCGGCGTTCGTCCGAGATGGCAGCGGCAGCGTCACAGCAGCGAACAGCTCTGCCTTCAGCGACGGCGGATCCGCGCTGGTGCTCGGCAGCAAGGAGATCGCCAAGCAGTACGGCAAAGACAGCCGCGTTCTCGCGAAGATCGTCACCTACGCCGACGCGGCCGTGGACCCTATCGACTTCCCGATCGCGCCCTCCGCCGTCGTCGAGAAATTGCTCAAGCAGTCTGGTCTCTCCAAGTCTGAAATTGCCGTCTGGGAGTTCAACGAAGCTTTCGCCGCCGTTATCAAGGCCAACGCGAAGATCCTTGGTCTGGGCATTGATAATGTGAATCCGAGAGGCGGGGCTATTGCACTTGGACACGCGCTGGGTAGCTCCGGAAGTAGGATACTGGTCACGCTGCTGCACCAGCTAGAAGTGGGACAGTATGGCATCGCAGCCATCTGCAACGGCGGAGGTGCAGCGACTGGCATCATCGTGCAACGAGTATCGCCAGATCAGCTCTAAGCCCTTCTCTGCGCTTTTCATCGTTTCAATCCAAGCACCGCGTTCAGGGCATAGGTATCTAGGTAGGTAGGCATATAAAAACAAATGTAAATCTGCAACTTGACTAGCCTGTAAAGCCTCTCGCGCCTTCTCTCTGACGCGTCCCGCTGCCCTTGATAGATTCGCTCCTCCTTCCTAATTGCCCAGGCAAAATGAAAGCCATTCGTTAACTGTATAAAGAGGAGGCCTGCCAAAAAGCGAAATTCATCGACGTGGGCCAGATTCGAACTGACGCTCCCGAGGGAAACAGATGTCACGGTCGTAAAGACCATTCAAGTCTGTCGCGATAACCACTCCGCCACCACGCCCTTTTCTACTCTCCTATTGCACAATTTCCAGGAAGTTTAATATCTGTACGCGGATTAAAGGTGCATTTGTAGAATTTACGAAAATGGTTCGTTAGGGAAGAGTCGAAACGGCGGTGTAGTACGGAGACGGGTAGGTGCAGTGTTGAGGCGGGCGCTTAAGCAGGCGCGTACGAGAAGGATGGAAACATTCTTTGGTTTAGTGAAAACGTGTGCGTTGAGAAAGCTTAGATGGGACGAAGGGTAGTGCGTAGTGCGGTGGTGGATGTTGAGGAGTTGAGTTTGGTACGCCGATTCTTTAACATCGTCGGCTACCGCTACAAGGCTGTGACATGTCAATCACCATGACCACCAGTCGTTTAAACATCCTGGACAGGCCATACCCATGAGCTGTGTTCTTTGTGGTCTGCTTGGACCGGTTCGTGTTCTTCCACAGAATTTTGTTGAGTTGTTGGGTTGTGGCTCGCCACCAATAATGGTTCTGTACGTGTGCGTCTTCAGGCGGGAGACATGATCCCACTGGATAGAGACCCACATTTGGAATGAGCTGCTCGATTGCTGTAAGCCATGGTCGAAGTCGCAGGTACTGTTGTATTTCTGAGTTCGAACGGGACCAGTACTGGGGCACTCTCGGTCCGATGATGATTCTGGAGCAATCCTCCTGCACTGTGCATCGCTCGTCGGTGAGTTGAGAGGGTCAAAGAACAAAGATATTTTGCATTGGCGTTGCTATTTGGTAGGCAAGCTCGTCACCTTTTTTGTTTTACACGACCTCATTTTGGGAACAAAACTGGACCTAGAATGATGCTCATGGTACCACGCGCGTTGAGCTCGCTGTGGCATTTGCAATGTCTCTGCTGTTTTGAGTAACCCCTTGGCGCACTGTAGCGCTCGGCGCAAAACATGAGTCGGAGTTAGAGACTATTGGGAGGTGTCCGTATACAGGCGAAGTCATCAGTAAGACATATTGCAGATATCTTAGAGAATTGGATAGGAAGGATATTGAACAGTAACAACACGTATATGTTGCCTTCTGTCCTTTCTGTACCTGCCCGCAATCGAACATTTGGGATGCGAAACTGTACTGTAGTGGGCGTCTGAGATGGCAGAGTATTTCGTTGCTGTAAGAGGTAGCTAAACCTTCAAAATCATCTTGACCTCGCAATCATTTCTTATACTGCAACCAGGTGGGAGCTTTGTCAAGTTAAGATAGCATCGTCACCGATGTCATGTAGAGAACATCGTATGAGCTCAAACGTGAAGCTGGGTTACACTCAATCGTTCAATTACCGTTCAATTACCGGCCTGCTACGTGCCGTGGGCGACGAAATGAAAAAACCGTAAATGTCATTATCATCAGTGTCATTATCTTCGGTATATCACGCTCAATGCATGACTCCACGAGTCCGTCGAGCCGCAATTTCTCCCGCAACGCACTAGCCCGGTCTCACTACTGCTGCGACTTCTCCCTCCCTCACTCTCAGACCTCTCTCTTGAGCTTATCATCTTCTCGTCGCTCGTTCCATCGCTCGCATAAGGAAATACTTGAACAGTTTCCTGTGGCATCCCGCTTTTCGGTCTGTTGGTGCCCTCTTAGATATACCGTTCGTGGTTCTCGGGGCCTTCTTTAAGGTATACGGGGCAGGGCGTCATAGGAGGGACCATTTCGCTCGCAGCGCCGTGCTCCCAATCCTCGCTCTGGTTCTAGTTCTTCGCATCCCAGCCAATTTTGAGGCTCATCCGAGTGAACTTAAGAGTAGGGATGAATTTGGCCTTCGTCCTGGGATGACCGAAGCGAGAGTCCTCTGCGGTAGACTTGCGGGAGCGGCGAGAGTACCAGCTGAATGCGGAGCGGATACCGGGTACAGGACGGCCGATGAGAGGGCGCAGCGGCATCAAGTTGCCGCAGATACATGCCGACAGGAGTTCGATGAGGGACCACTTGAGCACATCGACGTTGTCCCATGTGGCATCGTAAGTGTTGGCGTACTTCAAAACGAACTTGAGACGGATGACGCTTGTAACAGAGGCGGTGGATAGCGGTTAGCTCTGGTGTAAAACTGTGATTGAGAATGACTTACAAAGATCCGACGCCCAAAATAAGTACTAAACCAATTTTTTTCTTAGTGCTCATCTGCAGGTTCCAGAGTTCCTATATTGGCAGGAACAGGATGATGAAGTCCTCAACGTCGCTCAAGCCATCACCTGTAAACCCGATCACTGCTGAGATCGGCAGACAATGACCCTCGATAGTCTTGTTCCAAATGGAGCTGATCGGCAGACATTGGAACGTGACAAGTAGGAAGAAAACCGTGCCTTGGGTGAACATAAATGCGATCATGAAGCGTACGGTCCACTGGAAGTACATGATAAAATCCGGAAATAGTCGTGAGTACAGAACTAGGATCGCTACTTTGGCGAAAACTTGGACCAGTACGTAGAGCATTTGACAGACGTAGAACATCTTGAGTAGCTCTGGGCCATTCTCTGCTGGCACGTCCTAGTAGTGCTGACCAAAACCCATAAGAGACATCCTTAAGATGATGCTCGAAACAGCGATCAAGAAGACCTAGAGAGAGTGCAGCGTCAGTAATCGGTATCTCGGTAGTGTGCAGATCAACCTACTGCAGCAATGATGGCGAATCCATCGTCAGACCAAAGCCTGCCGTTCTTGAGCCATCTCGAGTAGAGTCTTATCATTAGAAACGGTACGGAGAGAGCGATTGTGGTGGTGGCGATGGTTTTCAGTTCGCTAACGCGGGTCTCCTTGGGATATGCTTCGTAGAGCGAATCTGCAAACGCAGTGATGTCTATAACAGCGTTAGCCGGCGCTCGGCAGTAGCTTATATAGACGAAACTCACTGACTTGGTCCTAAAATGGGCATGATTGTTGTACACACGCTGAGAGGTGTGCTTGTATGGTAGGATCTGTACAAGCACATTGGGCTAGTGCCCCAGCATTGGAAAGTGGGCAGCCACCCTCGGCGAAGACAGTATGCATAACGCATTGAACCTGTCGTGGATATGGTAAGCACCATGCTTTCTAGGCAACCTTGAATTCAATCAACGCATGCGTAACTTACAGCACACTCGGGTATAACACCCAGCATTGCAGTACTGAAGTGTTGGCAGGTATTTCTGCAGACATTGTGGTCGCTGCTAGCGTGAATCTAGCAGCAGTCGTAACAGTGTTGAAACTATTATGACCAGTCACCAGTGGTCACGTAGGATGTGAATATACGGTGGAATGGATCTGCACTAGGATGCCTTGGGGAATCGACGCAGGACAAGATTTCTTATATGCGAACACCTCGATCCTGGAGATGCGCCACGCCTACCCGGAAATCTCGAATCCCTTCCGTGGATAGCCCCATAATATTGCTCTCTTGCGACACTTTCATGTCTGGTGCTAGTTTGCGTCCATGAAATACAGCATCAAGTCAGGGCTCAGTCGCAACTCTCCGGAGGCTGCGGAGAGCACCAGCTCTCTGACGTACCGGCGAACTTAATTTCTAGAATCTGTGAGAAGCAGCCCGCAGAGTGCTGTTTCTCGCACAAGAGCTATCTTTAGCCCAAGCGGGATCATCTAGCCGACGGTAACTAGATCAAGCCGGTGATGCTTGGGCAGAGTCTACGTTGATGAACGACACTGGCCGCACGCTGGTCAAGCCAGCGTCGCTGTCACAAGTAGCACAGGTTCTAAAGACATCAAAAGCTGCAGCTTGTGTAGAGCGTTCAGATGCTTTCGTACGTCGCACACCCATCTTTCAATGTTGGAAGTCGTCACTTTTGAACTGTGGAGCCGTAATCGTACCACGAGGAGAAATAGCCTTGGAAATGACGCTTCTAGGAGAATCATATCTCACGAAGTGACATGAGATAGAAACGATACCTAGGGTTCATGGCCCCAATACATGCGGCATCCTGCAAGGAAAGGTTGCATCAGCTGCTACAGCGCTAGCGATAGGGTACTTGTAAGCAGGCAGGCATATGAGGACAACAAGCTGTATTGCTATCTGCAGAAAAGAGTGTGTGGAGTGAGGAGTCTGCCGAGAAGCAGAGAGAGAGAGAGAGATCGCCCGAGTCTGTTGAATCTATGGTCCGTGCACCCCAGTAGTACATTCCATGTATACAACCTCTGACGTCAGTCACGTAGCTACAGTACTACATACGTACTTCCCTGGGACCTTCCGAGGTCCAGATCAGGGCAAATGTACTTGCCGCTTTTGTGGTAGCCATATGACCGGATCGTATCTAAGCACACGATTATGCGGCTGCCGGCAGAACTACCATTGTGACTTTCCTTGGGAACCGCAGTTCACCCATCTGAAGATCATGAGCCTTAGACGACAATCTAGTCAATCCCGTCGAGAATTCGACATTGATCCATTTCCCCAGAATAAAGGGATATCCGGATTCCTCTGGCTGCACCTGAAACCCTGGGTAGAGGACTATTTCGTGTGAACCTTGGAAGCCTCCCGAGGTCGCCTGCGATTGTCCCAGCAGCATCCAAGCGACAGTCACAAATCAGCCGGCATATATGCACGGCAAATAGGGACATCACACTGTCCATCGTACCAAGCTGTTGTGGAGATTGACTATTCCGATGATCACCCCGGTTCATACTGATGCCGGACGTAGATCATGCGAAGCAGGTTAGCCCACGGGAAGCACTCTAAATGCAGGTACAAAGGGTAATCTCAATAAAGTCGGCCGCCACGTGCAGCAGGGATTCCTGCAGGGGTAGCAACTTCAAAAGTCGGGCATCTTGATTCCATCTAAAGTATGAGCAAATACACCCAAATAAGATGTTCTAATTATGCTGTAAAGTTGTTCTAGCCACCTACGTCCTCGCAGAGCTCTGCAACGCGCATAAAGTAGGTAGGATGAAGCTTTTCGGCCATATACTGCCTGAGTGACTCATCACCTTGCCAGACCTCCTTTATGTACTGTTCTGCAGCCTTTTTGGCCTCCTTGGAACTTGATAGGCATTCGTAACTTGC